CAGGCCACATCTTCAGGTCCAGCATAGCAGTGATCAGCAGGAGCAGCTTGGAGTTCAGTCTTCTTCAGCTGCTCCACTAAAGCTCCTAGCACGGTGCTCTTCTTCAGTGCAGGCTTTGGTGTGAATGTCTCCCTGCACTGAGGGCAGCTGTGGATTCCTTCTGATCCTCTTTATCCCAGTGGGACTTAATACAGTTCATGCAGTAGCTGTGTCCACAGGGAATCGTCACCGGATCCTTCAGTAGATCCAGACAGATTGAACAGGAGAAAGTTTCCTGGTCCAGCTGATTCTGCTCCATTTCTGCTCTCAGTCAAAGTGACTGTGTGAGTTTCAATTCCTCGGACCAAAAACACAGCTGAGCTCTGATCTACGAAACGTGTCAGTGCAGGGAGGCTGCAGCCAATCAGCTTTCACCTTCAGCAGATGTTGGGTCCTCCCAGCTTCAAGGTGTGTTTGAGCAGGAAGAACAGGGAGGAATATCAGGCTTTGATTCCAGGAATAATAGGGCTCAAAGTGACAGGGTTTAAAGATTAACCGTCTTCACAAGTTTTCTGTTCAAAACACCAAACTACAAACAACATTAGAGAACAATGTTCACTAATGTTATTGAATGGGAATGGAAGGTCAAGTTCAAACCTTATTACGAAATTAGAAGATAAAACAGGGACAAGATAATGTAATTGATATGTATTTTTCAAAGACGTGCCCTGAGGCAAGTTAATATGTCAACTCCAGGAAATGATAAGCTCTCTTATATGAGAACAATCTAATTGGATCTGATCAATAAAGCATGGGAATGTCAAACACTGCCTGAAAGTTAGATAGAGGGAGTAGTGGTACAAAGTCCAAAACCTAAGAAATATTTGTACAAATCCAGGAAATTATAGGTCCACAGACTTCCTGTCTGCGAAAACTAAGCAGAAAATTAAAGATTAAGGAAAATGAAGTTATATTTAAGAAATACCCAAGTTCTGAATTTGAAAAGGTGAGAACAGAGAGGAAATAGATCTATATTTTGTTGCTATTTCCATTGAAAACATTTCCCTCTGTTATAGTTACTGATAAACAGCTAAATACCCCCTGCTGTTTCCACTGGATTTCAGACAGGAAGCATCAACCAGGTGCTGTTGTTGATTATCTGATCACCAAGTTATTCAGCAACTTGGCGTCAATTAATGAAAGGCTGAACCAGTACAGCAGTTTGGAATTGTTCAAGGCAAAGACCTTGGTTGAGAAGAACCAGCAGATTAGCAGAAACGTGTCAGACCAGCAGATTAGCATGGTGGAGGAGGGCAGGTGATGTGGGATTGATTCGCAGCCACAGGTCCTGGGTACCTCAGACTCAATAAGGCTGTGTTCACACAGCAGGTCCTGGTGCTCAGTTCAGATCTTTTATGGTCGTTCGTACAATAAAATGCCACTGCAGTCCGTATCGGGTACGTATGATTTACTACCCTAAAGGATCTAAAGTTATTCAGCATCGGGAGCGGCAGCATCATCACAACCATTGCTTCCTTCAGATTCATTTGGCCTCTTCTGGTACCAAATTATGACGCATGTTGGATAAAATCCAACATGGCTGACTCACTGCAGACGCTTAAAGATACACATCTGATTTAGAAGTGGAAGTGGCACGAATTCAATTGTCTTTTGGGTGAAAAGAAATGAAATGGGTCATTCAGACTGCCATGAAAACAAAGTTGGCTTTGGGTGACATTTGACTGCTTTGTGAACGTTGCAACCAGGATTTCCTCTGAATGCCAAAGTATTCCAGAAACAAACTCGTCACCAACTGGACTGATTCCAACAGCAGCAGATTTACATAAGAGAAAAAAGAAGGTGTTGCAATGGTCTAGTCAAAGTTTGGAGCTGAAATAGAGTTCTCCAGAAGCAAACAGTTAACTTCATTTGGAGTTGCCTTTTCTTCCAGTAACGTTTTGTTTTTCAGTTTCTTTCTGATTGAACACGTTTCATATTTTGGGCCTCAAATCTTTATTTTAAACTACGACGTCTTCATAAACTACGACGTCTTTATTCAGATTTTAAACAGTGTTGCTTTTCTTTTCCTCCTCTGCTTGAGGAACAGTTGAGTCTCTACGCAGGGTAAATCTGCAGCGTCATGCTGTCACTAAATCCCACGTCCACAGATAATCTGAGTGTGAAACAAACTGTTGCTTTCAGAGCTGAGATTTCCAGGATCCACAGTGATCCTCTGCGGCTCTGCAACCTGCTGCAGCAAACGCTACCGAGTGTTTTAGCTGGGGTTGCCTAGCAACTGGGACTCGGCTGTGTCATCATGTTGTTGCAGAAGCACAAAACACACTCGTTACAGACAAACACACACACACATCTTGAGCCGAGCCCTCACACCCACCAACCTGCTAAATATAGGCAGGCATCGATGCAGTCAGCAAACCGGCGGCGTCTCAGGGGAAAACATCGGGTCACGGTTCTGTTTAAAGCGTGAACTCGGTGTCATTCTTTTACTTCAACTGTTCACAGCAACAAGGTGCTCTGATCACCTAAAAGAACAAACATTCAAACTGATTTCAGGCTAAAATGAGGCGATTATGTACAATAACCACTGGAACTGGTCCGAATCACAGAGGTGGTGCAACTGGTGCTGAACCAGCAGGACGTAAGAGAAGAAGACGGCCTTATCAGCCGTTCACAGGTGCTTCAGCTCGGGGAGGAGAAAACTGAAACACTGCTGATGAAGACCTGAGCTGGTTTTTACATGGTGGCTTGGATCTGCAGAGAAAAACTCAGGTTTTCTGTTTACAAAGACAAAAAGCTACAAAAGAAATAGGTGAGAGTTTTTATTCATGTTGATGACTGATTTACATTTGGAGTACAGAAAACACCTGACCTCTTCCTCTGAGGTGAACAGAGTCTCTGACAATCCTCCATTACGTCTTACCTCGGCCGTGATTGGCTGAATAAGGAACCTTCTGATGCAGGAATCAGGAAGTTCAGGCATCCATCCTTGACTGGCACCAGATTCTCAGATTACATCCAACCTCAGTGTTCCCCAGAGAGGTAATGTTGCTGAGGCTGAGCTCAGCGAAGCTCCAGGCCTCCAGGCTCAACGCCAGGCGCCTGGAGGCTGTGTTTTCTAAAGGAAAACACAGATTTTACTTTCTCCACTGGGTGGATCTTCATTCTCTTCTGGGATCCCAAATAACTGTAGCAAAAACTCAAGTCCAACTGATGGGAATCATTCTGGCCGTGACCTTGACCTCAGTGTAGCTGCCTCCCACTCCAGCTGGTTCCTACTCCTCCTCTGCATGAATGTTCCCACTGGGATCGCCTTTCCACAGTCCAGGTAAGTAACAGTTGTACTGATGAGAACAATCAGACTTCCAAACGGACCACAGGTCTGAACTGAGCCGTTCACAATGTCATTAAGATGTTGAGTCTTCCGCTTTCTGAATGCTAGACAATAAATTTGGTCAAAACAAATAACAGATTGAACTCATAATAAACCAAACACAGACAGCAAAGACGTTCAAATGCTGCTTCATATTAGAAAACATCTGCTTGGGTCCAAACTGGAATCCCCTTCATGCCTAAGCAATCATAAACTAAAGTCAAAAGGCTTTTTCTGTGCTAGTTAATATGGTGAAACCAAACTCTGCCAAGCATATTCCAACTAGTCCAAAAAATACAGAAAAGGATGTAAAAAAGGCTGCCAGCAGTAAATGTGTGAGTTGGCGGCTTTGGAAGAGAAAAAACAAAAAAAGTGGGGCGAGAGGCAGAAATAAAAGGCTGGCGGGAGACGAGAAAGGAACATAGAAGCAGAAATAACTGACAGCTGGTGGCAGGGAGCTGAGAGCATGGCAACAAGAGGCTGATAAAAGAGCAGAGAGTCGACCGCATCCCTGAGAAAATAGTTCAAACGACGGCCCTGAAGAACAGCAACAAAAGAGAAGTAGGTCTCACAGACACGTTGCTACTTCGCCCTTATGTTTATCTAGTATATATGGATGAAAGCAGAGGAGCACTCTGCACCTGGACTTTACCTTCATATGAAACCAGAGCACAGCCTGATTGGCAGCGGCAGCTGGGTGGACAACCGATGGAGTGTTTGAGGAGGACAAACACAGACAGAGATGTGAAGCCTGTGATCAATAATTCAGAAGCCAGGGACGGCTGGAAAATGTCAGCCGGCTCTGCGTTTTCACACCACTATGAACAGTCTGCAGGTCTGCCAGGTTGAAAGCAGGGAGGCCTGGAGCAAACCTCCAGCACCTGCTAGGGGAAGGTCACGCTGGATTTTATTAGCGCTCTGTGGCCAGAATATCCTACAGTTGTGGGTTTGATTCCAGTTTCCCTCCTGGAACATATCAATGTGCCTTTTGCTGCAGCAGCTGAAGCCAAATTACCCACCAATCTGCATACTGATGCATGAAAGACGCTAATTTCTGAGTGTCAGTCCAGCTACCATTTAGTGGGGCTAAAAAGGACTGGACAACTAATGACAATCATTAACTTGTGTGAGATAGAATCAGAATTTTATAAATGTAAATGCTCCAAAATGTTAAAAAGATCCATTATAAATGCTGTGGAGCTCATCTTATGATGGGCATAAAAATTAGGACTGCATTGTATGGAAACATTTGCACGGTAAATAATGTTGGTGTGATCTTTAGCATTTTGACAATTTCATTTGTGCTAGTGTGAGATTTTTCTGCCATGAGACTCGGTCTGACTGGCAAACATGGCGTTATGTAATCAGTAACACATCACTTAGTGACAGGTGACATGGATAAAAGAAAGTATTAATTACTGGAAAAATTACATTTGCTTTAGTTCAGAAAATCTTAGGGAAGCCACACATATTATTAGAAACATGTTATATTCAAAAGACACAAAAGAAATGTGTGCGCCTCGTTTGCCCAAAATATAAGTTTGGTCCTGATCTTTAGCTGTCTTGTTATATGCCAGTCTGTAAGTGTAAGGTTGGTAATGATCTGTGAATGCAGTGCAGTTTGTCCTACCACACTGGGCTATCAGTCGGTTCTGTTCTAATGGCCAGCGGGTCGCCATCCATGAATGGAGCATCTAAAGTCTTCAACCTGGTGGATCCAGGCTCACGTCTCAGATCTCTGCTCCTCCAGATCCAGAAAATAACAAACTGACCTATGCATAATGTCAGAGCTATATTACACTCATGCTTTATGAAAAACCAGAACTAACTGCATGAAATGAAACTGAAACGTCACTTTACTCAGATTTCACTTAGTTGTAGTTTACTTATTCACATTAAATTTTACCAATATGACTTATACAGAAAAACACCTAAAGGTTATAAAACACAATACATGACTACTAATATATAAAACAAAGGACAGTGCAAAAATACTTTCAGCCACATAGTCTGAGTAATTATAGATTTCCCCATTTTATTTAACTCACGGAGTGAACATGCTAACTGTTTTAGTTTAGCTCAATGGAGTTTACGATCGTCCAAATTAGCATAGCGGCTAACGGGTTCGCGAGATCGATGTTAACCCGCCAATCCAATTCTAGATAAGGCAGAAAAACTACTGTCAGTTACAACAAATACAGAGACTCCTCGCAAGGTTCACCTCAAGCTCTCAGTATGAAACACCAATTAATATCATAAAATACAAGCTAGCTTCATGATTCAGAAACTTACGAGGTTAGCTAGCTTCTCTCGTCACAGCAACGTTGCTACTAACTAGCAAAGCGCAGGCAAAACCAAGCTGGGGGCGGGACAACCGATGTGATTGGCTGAGGCTCTTCTTCTTTTCAGAGCAGTTCGCAAGCAACATTTGCATGTGCACTACCGCCATCTACTGGAACAAAATGTGAAAAAATACACAGATTTTAAAACTTAACAAAAAATAAACAAATAAAAAACAATACCTAGAAAACAAAAGATAATTATATTGTGATTGGCTGAGGTTGCCTGAAACTACTTACTCTAGTTTATTTCTAAAAACTGAAAATAAATCTTCTTTACTTGTGTTTAGAAAAAGCCTAAACAACTCCTTGATACACCAGCTGGTTTGGAGCTAATGCAAGAACAACAGTTATTTAAACATGTTTCTTCCAACAGTGATCCTTGTTGCATTTGTTCCATCAGTAATTCCTCTGTTTGGATGAACAAACATTCTCCTGGACTCTCTCATTCACGCACACACACACACGCACACGCCCTCTCTCTCCATCGCTCGCTCACTCAAACACACATACGCTTTCTCAGAAAAACCTATAGCACATGCAATGTGCTATAGGTTGTTAAATTCTGTAAGATGCACAATCATAAATTTTTATTCTGAGTAAAACAATAGTTTTTATCACACACTTATAAAGTGAATGGTCTTTTAAATATTTACATTTATGGTAGCTATATTTCATTATATAAAACAGTTTAAAATGTCCTTTTTTGTCAACATTAAACAAAGAAAAATTTATGTTTTTGAAATATGTTCCTAACAAAAAACATCTGGATCAGAAAGTCAGACCTTAAAAAACTATAAATCTATATGAACCAGTTAAAGTCTGATCACTGTTAATCACTGAGCAGTTAGAAACCCGCTGGTCGTCAAGAAACACAAATATGTTTTAAATACATTTGATCAACAGAAATAAAAACAGATTTTTTTCAGGTTTTAGAAAACTGTCTCTGCCGCACTATTTAAGTCATTTAAGGTTTTAGATTAGTAAGTTTATTTCTAAAAACTGAAAATAAATCTTCTTTACTTGTGTTTAGAAAAAGCCTAAATGTTTGGTCTATCTGTCCATATCGGCCATCCTGCAGTGGGTTCGGTGTTCGGGTGTGGTCCTGTTTTTATTTAGTGCCTAATGTTCTGCTGGGTCCATTATGTGGCTAAGAAAAACATCTGCACGTTCCAGAGCCCAAATGTTTTCCAGATCTAATTAGGCCTTAAGTAATCCCTTTACGGCAGGAGGAGTTATCTGCCTGATCTTCTTCAGAGCTGCTCATCCATTATGCAGCTGGTTAGTCAGGATCCATTAGGAGGAAGGAGAACCAGGAGAACCAGGAGAACCAGGAGAATCAGGAGAACCAGGAGAACCAGGAGAACCAGGAGAATCAGGAGAACCAGGAGAATCAGGAGAACCAGGAGAACCAGGAGAACCAGGAGAACCAGGAGAATCAGGAGAATCAGGAGAACCAGGAGAACCAGGAGAATCAGGAGAACCAGGAGAATCAGGAGAACCAGGAGAACCAGGAGAATCAGGAGAATCAGGAGAACCAGGAGAACCAGGAGAATCAGGAGAACCAGGAGAACCAGGAGAATCAGGAGAACCAGGAGAACCAGGAGAACCAGGAGAACCAGGAGAACCAGGAGAACCAGGAGAACCAGGAGAATCAGGAGAACCAGGAGAATCAGGAGAATCAGGAGAATCAGGAGAACCAGGAGAACCAGGAGAATCAGGAGAATCAGGAGAACCAGGAGAACCAGCCTCACTGATGCTTTTAATTAAGACTTTCACTTGAAAAGGAAACTGTTCAGTTGAATAAAAATTAAAATGTCTTTCAAGTTTTTGAATAGATTTAAGATTTCTCATGGGTTTAAATAAAGTAAAACTACCAACATTTGGAAACAAACAGTAACACATAATATTATTGTGGAAGAGACTTTATTTCTGCATGAAACGATGACGGATCGTTTGAACTGCCAAACATTCATCCAGTGTCTTCAGGGTGCAGAGAGAACAAGTCCTGAAGGTTCCTCTGTCCCAAATCCCCTTCAGAACCCATCAAGTCCAAATGCCTCTCCATCCAGGAAACTCCTGAGACTCCCAAACAACTCCACTTTTTCCCATTAAGAACCAGAACCAGAACCGGATCTACACTGGTCCAAATGCCAAACTGCTGCTGGATCTTTGCACTTTCATGACCACAAACTGGTTCCAGTATAAACTGCATCTTTCCAAACACAAACAGAGTGAAGAGCCACAATGTCACCAGCTGTGTTTCCATTACCAATGTCTGCAAACCGTTGTCAATATTACACTAAACAAACAACAACACAACTGCATCGTTTTATTAAATAAGAAACACAATTAAAATCACACAGCACCTTCTACCACTTCCTGTCTTCTTCATGAAACGTCTGGTTGTTGTTCATGTGTTTCCAGATTTAGAAAATAAACTTCCACCTCATCAGAACATGAAACTGTTGGACTCGCTTTGGTCTCCATCATCTGACGCCTTTATTTTGATATGACTTGATGTTTTTCACTCACAGCCTTAGTAACACCAGCTGCTGTTCATGAATTAATACGTTGCTGTTTGGACGTCCAGAGACTCAGAACCAGAAAGACGATCAAAGTTTACAGGAGGAAAAACTTCAGGGAGATGAAAACGCCTCTTTATAGCGCCACCTCTGGCTGACCACTGGAATTACTTTGGAAGAAAAAACTTCAGATAATTATTCACAGAAACAACTGGCTGAAAAGTTTCTCCAGATCTGATACCAAAGGAGGAAACAGACGTAATAAACGACTGCGGTTCTGTTGAAGGTTTCTGTCGCCTTCAGGAGAAGAAACGCCGCCTCAGCATCTTGAACGACTCGGACTCCAGCCGAGTCCTTTCCACACGGACCTGAATCCCTGCCAGTGATTTGGCTTCAGTTTGAGGGGAATGTCAGCAGATCCGTCCCTGGATCTGCTGATCCACTTATTATCAGAGCTACAACGTCAGGCTCCTGCTGAGCTGCAGCTCACTGGATCCAGACCGGATCCCTGCTTGTTATTCAGTTAAATAAGTTCAATAAAAAGACCTTCAGCAACATGAAAGATTACTTTAAAGTCAAAGTTGTACTGATATAAAAGGCATTTAAGTTGCAAGGACTTTGAACTCAGATGATTCTCTTTTGCAAACTGATAAGCAACGAGAGTAATTAGTAGATTTACTGTCAGCCTTAAAAAACTCCTAATCTTTAAACTGCTGCCAAGACCAACGCTAGTCAAAGTGTAATGAGGCGCAGAGTGAGAGCAGCCATGAAAATGTTTCTTCATCACAATTTATAATGAGAACCGATTTACAAAAACACCTGAATGCACCGGTGCAGATTTTACACCAAGAAGCTCAAACTTTAAACTGAGAGCGATGACGATTATTTAAGGTTTCTGTTGCATAAAATGAATCTCAACGGTAATTTTCTACACGTATAATTAGATGTCTAATAGAAACGTGTTTCCTGAGACCCAGGAAATGTCCAGGGTTCTGCTGAATCAAGTTGAAAAAGCTTGAACTCATCAGTTCTCCACGTTTCTTGTGTTTTAGACAGAAATGGGTCTTTTAACAGAAAATAACGCTAAACAGACCAGAACCTGGAGTCCGTCACAAAGTCCTGATCTCAGTTCCAGACGTTGGAAAGGCGTGTGAGTCCGGCGGCCAAAACCCGACCCAGTTCCTCCAGTTCCACCGGTACCTCCAGTTCCTGTCAGAACGCCGAGGAGGGGAATCCAAAACGTTTCACCGAATCAGAATAAAAGAAAATTCAGGAAACTTTCATGGATTGTTTGGTCCTAACAGACCGACAGTTTATTTATTTTAATTTCAGTAAATGTGTGGATTCATTAGTAATTTATTTATGGAGAAATCCTCGACATGTTGGGTTCTTATAGTCCCTGCTGTTTTTATAAAGAGGTAAAATTGTGGATCCGTTTCAGCCGGTTTCAGTCGGATCAATGCTGCATCACTTCCTGTCTTACTTCTTTGCTCCGACTAAGAAGAGAAGCTGATTCTGTTGACTCAAATATTTCCAAAACAGGATGAGAAGCAGAAAGAGCCTCATTCTGTTGGGTTTTTGGCCAAAAACTAAAGTGAACTGAAGCAGTCGATCACTGCAGGCCCAGCCATCGACACTCAGGGAACAGAGACGCTTTCTGAACCCGGGGCGGATTGGAAGTGATGCTCCATTATGACAGGAGGGTCCGGGGCGCGGCGGAGGAAGGGCACAACTAATGGTTCCTGGTGCAAAACCCTGCATCAATAAATGATGAGCAGAGTTCACACTGGAGCTAAGTGCTCTGTCAGCTGCAGCACAGATCTGCAATCCGATGCTGCGAACACTCAGAGCCTGAACCGAGACTTGGGTCCAGATCAGAGACGTAGTAGAACATTAATCTTTAATATTCAGGGACTTTATGAGTATGAAAGGCCGCTGGCGCTTTTCACCCAGAAGAGTCTAAAACTGGAGATATTTACTTATATTTACTTCAGAAGCACAGCATTAAACCTGCACTGGTTCTGAGGGGTTGGGTCAGCATGGGTTAGCATGGGTTAGCATGGGTCAGCATGGGTTAGCATGGGTTAGCATGGGTCAGCATGGGTCAGCATGGGTTAGCATGGGTTAGCATGGGTTAGCTTGCTAGCCCATGCTGGTCACTGTGGACAGGCCACCGGTCTGTCGCAGGGCAACACAGAAACAGGACAAGCAACCATGCACACACACACACACACACACACACACATACACACACACACACACACACACACACACACACACGCACACACACACACACACACGCACACACACGCACACACACACACACACACACACACAACCCACGCTCAGGGAAATTACTCCACTAATGTGCGCCGACACACAAGCTGAGCTACAGGAGAAAACAGCTGCACCAGATAATTAAGTGCAAATTCATTGTTACCACACAGACTGTATCCAAAGCTCCCACACAAACAACCACAA